CCCTTTCCTGTTGCATGGCTCAGTTCTCTGGTAATCTTTGTTCAGGGGCGTTTGTTCCGACAAGCTGAACCTAATGGTCTCTTCAGGCCTTCACAGCTTGCAGGATGGCTGTAGGAGGAATCAGACACTTGCTTTCTCACTAAACCATCTCCGAATTGATTACCTAAACAACCTCTGTCACTTGGGGGTACTCTGAATAACCGTCCTATCATTGACTTAACAATATAGGGATGTGCTCTGGCATCATCTAACCAACATCTGGCTGAACTTCAATCACTACTGTTAATAGAAGGGCAATTTGTATGTCTCCAGATTAATTTATTCCTGTTCAAAAAACCAATTCACTTTTCTCAGTCTCATAGTTTTCTTGGTCCTTGTGTAGGGTGGCACAGTAGAGGCACCCAGAGAAATTCAGTCCTTGCGCCAAGTTATCCACAGGACGTGAGATGGCGCTTGTGCCCTTGTTGAACCTGGCTACTCCGGTTGTGCCTAACACCTGAGAGCATCAGAGAAGATCTGGGGTGGGTATGGGATTGGCATTCATTTTGGTGGGCTTGAATTCCATCTGTGCCAGGGTTGAGTCATTCCTAAGCCCTAGGGAAAATGATTCCTGCCTTGAAACAAGCAGTGCAGTTGCCCTTTCACAGAACTACTGATGACAAAACACTGTGGTTTAGCTCTCCCCTACTCAGATCTACAGTAAAAATCTCACGGATGCTCACAGACCTGTTGGAGCGAGTCCAGAGGAGGCCACGAAGATGCTCCGAGGGCGGGAGCCCCTCTGCCATGGGGACAGGCTGAGAGAGTTGGGCTTGTTCAGCCTGGAGAAGAGAAGGCTCCGGGGAGCCCTTATAGCACCTTCCAGTGCCTGAAGGGGCTACAAGGAAGCTGGGGGGGACTTTTTACAAGGGCCTGTAGTGACAGGACAAGGGGTAACGGGGTTAAATTGAAAGTGGGGAGGCTTAGATTGGATATCAGGAAGAAGTTCTTCCCGGAGAGGGTGGGGAGGCACTGGCACAGGTTGCCCAGAGAAGCTGTGGATGCCCCATCCCTGGAAGTGTTCAAGGCCAGGCTGGATGAGGCTTGGAGCAACCTGGTCTGGTGGAAGGTGTCCCTGCCCATGGCAAGGGGGTTTGAACTAGATGGTTTTTAACGTCCCTTCCAGCCCATGATGATAGGATGGACCTTTGTGTACTAGTCAGGAGGGGAACTACAAGTCTTACACACAGGGTTCCCAGGAGGCAGTCAGATGGTGTGAGAGAGGGCAGGAGGCTTGGACAAGTCCAGCTACATCTGTAAATAGAGATTTAGCAGCTGCTGTTGTATGATAATAGAATGGACCTTTGTGTACTAGTCAGCAGAGGAAGCACACGTCTTATACACAGGGTTCCCAGGAGGCAGGCAGATGGTGTGAGAGAGGTCAGGAGCCTTGGACAAATCCAGCTACAGCTGTAAATAGAGATTTAGCAGCTGCTGGCATCCAGCTAAGCCCCTGCAATGGACAGGGACAGAGATCACAGCAACACCAGCTCTAGTGAAGCACCAGCAGCTGTAGGGATCGCTGCCTTCCTGAATTGGGAGTGATTTCTTTCCTCAGAAAGCCAGCAGTGTAGGAGCTCTCCTGTTTGAAGGATGCCTTGTTTTACACTCTGACTATATGTGCTTGAATGCAGTTACATGGAGTCTCAAATTGCTACGTGAGCTGCTTTTGTAGAAGTGCAAATAATAATTATATTGCAGAGTTGTTTTATCACTGAAAGTGGCCCAGGTCCAAAGCAGGATTTGGCTGTGTGCTTCGAGTAATAGAGTTATGTACTTGTACCAGATGGAGACTTTAAATTTTCATCAGCAGGTTTATAAACACAAAGAATATCCTTTTATCAGCCCCCAGGTCTTTTACTAATAAGCTGCAAATACTGAACTTCAATTAGCATGGAGTGGAGGCACATATGAAATAATACACATTCTTATTGATGATTATCCATCATGTGAGAATGAAATCAAGACATGAGTAATGACCTGTTTCAGGTTTTTTGGGCTTTTTTTGTTGGTGGTGGGTTTTTTTTTCCCCTTTAACGCATGCTTGGTACTATAAATGAGTGAAAAGAGTTAAAAGTAGTTTGAGCCAGATTTTCTAGTGAGGAAACTCCATTGCAGGGGAACGGAGTGCAAGTTTTCAGCCCTGCTCATCTTTGCATTGACTTCTGTAGTCCTTGGGCCAAGCCAACACAAGGGTGTGTGACAGCCGTGTTGTGAAGTTTGCCATGGAAGGATAAAGAGTTTACAAAACTACCTTTTTTCCTGCTGCTGAGAGCTACCCAGAGACGTCTAAGCTTTGAAGCAACGCTGCGAGGTGTTATCAGGGAATCCTGGCTTTCTTGAGGGTGTGGGTGCATGGAGAAGGAAAGGGATCGATTAGTTTAATGCTGCCTTTGCCTTCAGCAGCATGTTTGCTGGCCTGCATGGCATACTTGCGTGCTCTGTATGCCCCAGCTGAGAATTTCTTTCTGGACACTGCAGGCATCCAGCTACTGGGCTTGTGCCCTGTGGTTTATAAATCATTCAGGAGATTTGTGCATCACAAGAGCAGTATCAGCTCTTTATAGGGTGCTGAGGAAGGACCTCTGCCTCAACTGATACTTTTTAGGGAGGGAAAGGGTTCAGTGTAGTTGCAAAGATAAGTCTTAGCACATAGTTTGAGAAGGCATTGGATAATTGTCATGACAGCTAAGGAAAGGCGGCAGCTTCATGGGATATAGATTGGTTCTGGGAATTCTGCGTCTTAACTTTTCATGTCTTGCCTTAAGGAGGTTTTGCTGGAAAAGCAGTTCATTAAGAGGATAAGGTCTGCTGTTGAAAAATATAGATACACAAATTTGAATCAGTAACTGAAAGCAAACTTTTCTCCCAAGGATATAATTGAGTACTTTCTGATTAATCAAACCCCAAAATACACCCCTGAAATACTTACCGATCACTTTCACTGGACTGTACGTCAGCAGAAGATGGCTGCTATACAGGGCATACTGGCTTAGAATAGAGTAACATAGAATAGAATCATTTAGGTTGGGAAAGACCTTTAAGATCATTAAGTTCAACCCTAAATGGAACACTGCGTAGTCCACGACTAAACCATGTGCCACATCTACATGATTTTTAAATACCTCCAGGGTGGTGACTCAACCACTAGACAGCCCGTTCCAATGCCTGACAACCCTTTCAGTGAGGATGTTTTTCCTAATACCCCATCTAAGACCACCGGAGAAAGGGAGAACAACATCGCAAAGGTCTCCCCTGATACCATGAAACCAACAGGATTTTGCGCTTCCTGGATCACGTAGGGTTGAGATTTGTAACTGGAGGCAGCTGCTGCCCCACTATGAAGTATGGCTGTGAGCTGTGTGGAAGGAGTAGCAAGACGACAGCACGGCACGGGAGTCTGCAATTGCCACGGGAGGCTGAGCGCGAGTGCCACTTGATGGAATTATCGTAGATGCATGAGGCTTCAGTTCTATTAACATAGGCAGCAAGGCTGAGGTTATTGAGGGAAAATGGACCTGTTCTGTTGATTAGCTCTGATTTGCTACTCTGATGGCATATATCAGTGTTAAAAGATGGCCCCTAAAGCTTTTCTTTGTACTGCATTGGAAATGACACATTGCAAGAGGAGGAAAAGTTCTATTTAAAATTGCAGAATCTGAGATGAAGTGAAATTGAAAGGAAATATCCAAGAAAGTAGGGTGAGGAAGGAAGAGGCACTGTACGTTATGGTTGCACAGACATCTTAATTTCATTTTAATGAATCTCTGACCACTCAGGAAGGGATGGGTAGCTCTTTGTATACTAGGAGGGAAAGAACAGCCGCCTGCCACAACACTGAGATTTCCTTAGAACGTGGTCTCTTACTGAAACAAAGGACTGCACTCTGCTTCATATTTCACAGAATTAAAAAAGACCAAGCTATTTTCTGACTCCCTGCATCCTGTTTATGTAACTTGCAGATGACGGCTATGCAACCTCTGGATGAGCCCTAGAAGATTGTTGTGTCGGTGACTCAGGTGCTCTGCAAACAGGCTGGCACATTGGGCTTGGAGATGAGATTGCAGTTAGAGGCACTCCCTTGGTACCAGAGCCCAATTCAAGGTCTCTTTATGGAGACTCTTCCCACTAGAAGCTGTGTGTGGTTTGCTGATCATCTGCTCACATCACTGCCAAGCGTTTCTGTGCTGATGCTGTATTAATTACGTGCAAGTACAAAGCATTCCCTTTGATTGCATTGGAGCAGAAGAGACCCAAAGCCCTGAGTGTTGTCCAGAGATGTGGGTCAGCAAGAAGGGAGGAGAAGAGCTAGGCAAGAATGAGTCCTTGGCCTTTACATAAATTTTAACAGCAAAAATTCCAGCAGGATGTGGGGAGAGCTTTTAGTGCAGCTGGGCTGCAAAAATGGAACTTTGTGGGGAAGCACATGTTCCCCTTTTGAAGGCCCCATTCCCAACCTCTGTGCAGTCACCATGACAGTGTTGGTTTGGAAGCTCTAGACCTGGCTGAAAGCTGCGGAACAGTACTGCACATTGTGCTGTGGTGGTAAAATTGAGAACTATGAAAAGGGAAGGATTAGACCCAGGGATGAAGGGAGAAAACTGAAACAGAGGCAGAATTGCTTCAGCTGCAAACTAGACTTCCTTGTGAGTCAGCTGTTGTCTCCAGCAGCAGCTCCCAGTTTCCACCTCTGTGGAGGTATGACTGAGAGGAGCCAGGAGGTGTGAACCACTGAGTAGATTCAGTCAGTGCAGAGGGTCGAAGCTGGGATGACTGTGAGATCCCCAAATACAGCCCATCTTACATGAATCTCTGCAGCAAGCCCCTCTGGCAGTCCAGCAGTACTTAGCTCATGCCTGCACAGACCCTGTTTGCCAGACTGCAGTGAGGGGGAACAAAAAAAGATTGTGCCACAGAGATGACCTGGTGACTAACGAGTTTCATTGATCTTGTGCTTGCAGGAGAGAGCCATCTACCCTCATCAGTTCCTGCGAGCTTTTCTGCCGGAGGCTATGAGAAAGCAAATGTGAGATGTTCTGCAAAAGCAGGGCTGTGTGAGCCCACTGAGCCTAAGAGTGCTGCCAACTCATGGATGTATGAGCATGACAGTGCAGAAGATACCAGCATCAGGAAATCTCTTGATGACTTCTACAAAATGTATTGCAAAAAACGGCCAGACAGAACGGATCCCACCTACAAGGCTGCATCACAGTGTCTGTCGCAGAAGATTTCGGAGCTAGCAAACTGGGATGGGACAAAATACACGTCACGTTGCCTGCAGATGGCCCAGGTTGTCTTGAACAGAGATGGGTGCAAGATCTTTCCAAACCACCCCACCACTGCTTGTTTTGCAAAGCCAGCTGAGGAAGAGGTTGTCTTGGGAGACAGAAAGAGAACACCCGGCATCTCAGATGAAGTCCTGCAATTCCTCTTGAAACAAACACGGACAGAACGTAGCCCTGACGTGCCATGTGAGAAGTGAACAAGATGCTGGTTTCTTTCAGTCCTTGGAGCTTGGCTTTCACTCCAAAAAAAGGTGACTTTCTTGAAAAGACACTTTCTCTTAGCACCACTTTCAACACCACCTATTCCATGGAGGGGTTCGTCTGGAGCAGACCTTACACCTTGGTCTCTGCAGGGTGGCACCACAGAAGGAGCATCTGTGGTCCCCCTGTAACGGCTTGGGGTGTGTTGACTAGTCAGGATGGGTGATGGGTAATACAGTGTCTGTTGCTGGGGCATCAAATGATGATTTCTACATCCCAGGCTTTAAAATCGACCTACGTCCCTACCCTAGCAGAACAGTGGCCCAGCCCAAATTCAGCTCCTGTTTTGGCATGGATGTCCAAGTGCTGGTGACTATGGAACGAGCTTGGCACGGTATACCCAGACCTAGGGAGGAAACTTAAGATTTTGTTCTGTACCTGACTGATACTGTAATGCCTATTCCTCCATGGGATTGCCTGGTATCTGTGTGTGTTTACCTACAGACATATGATCCCACAGCTTATGACTGCAATGCGTGTGAGCTTTTTCAACAGAAAAAAACTGTGTGTGCATGAGAGAGAGAGGAAATACAGCTTCTGAGCAGTTTGGTATTCGTTGTTTTTTGGGGTTTCGGGCTTTTTTTGTAACACGAGGGATAAAAAAGGAGATAAAGAAAAGCTTTATCACCTTTAGTGGTGCTTCTAACACTTCAAATGCACCAGCTGAGAAGACTGGGGATTTTTTCGTATCTGCATGAGATGGTTTAAGAGCAACCTGAAATAGATTCATGAGTGAGAACTCTGCAGAGATGCCTGTAGGGAAGCTGCAGAGTTGGTGCCAGCTGCCCTGGTAGCTGCCTGCTGTAAGATGCAGAATACCAAGGAAAAGCAGAGCTCACATATCTGCTGTAACATGCAGAATACCAAGGAAAAGCAGAGCTCACATATCAGCATGATCAAGACTGTGGGTCGCTTTGTTGATTCTGGAAGGACAATACTGCTTTCTCCTATTCTCTCCCTACCCATTAGCCCCTGCTCATTTCTTCTACTTTATGGTCTGAGCTCAGAGCTTTCATACAGAGGAAGCCAATGTTCATTGCATGAGTACAATGTTGCAGTCTTTGCTGGCATTGCACTAGACCTTGTCATTACTTTCCTGATGTGTTGATGCATGAGGGAAAACATTCTGAGGTGTTTGAACCATGAAGGTTGTTGCTCTCCAGTAGGGATCATCTGGTGTTGGCTGGTTACAGCAAAAGTTTGCTTCTTCTAACAAGCTCTGCTGCTGCTTATACCCAGAACTTTCTTGCTCTGGTTTTAGCTGGCAGGATCACTGCCGACTGCAGGGGGAACTGGCCCAATGCACTGGCTGTGTAGCCTGGGTTTTGGTGACTGTCGCTTGCCCTGTGACATTAAGAGGTGACCTGAAGGACTAAATCCCAGCAATTGACTTTTGGTCACTGCCACCTGGAAAATTTAAAGTGCTTTGGGCCTGATGAATTGAATGAATTTGCCTATGAATTTGGCAAGCCTAATTCTCCTTTGCTTTGTGCTTATGGAATCTAGGAGTCAATCCCAAGACAAATACCTGCACGAGGGATACTGGACTGGGCTCCCACTGTCCAATCCTTGCTTGGAAGGGTGCTGCTGTCTCGCAGGGCTGCAGTTCATACCCCTCTGCTCAGCGTATGGGAGCCGTTTGAAGTGGTTGACCAGGAGCAAGCAGAGCTTCTGATCCCTCTCTGGACAGGTTGTCAGTCATTAAAGCTATGCTTTACTGTCAGCACTTATAAATGTTCTGTGCCTGAATGACGTGTCAGGCTCTAAAAGAGACGCTTGGGTTGGAGAAGATAGTAACGTCATAGTCCTTACTAAGGTTGCCAGGCCCGCTGCTTTGTTGTAGTTGTTGCTTTGTTTCACAACTTGCTTGTGGGGCTGCAAGTCAAAGAAACCATGAGGAAAAATCCTGAGCTTTGTCTTCTCCAAACGTTTATTGTTAGATTTTCATTAAAATTTAGGATAAACCTTATTATTTTGCGGCAGATTTTCATATTTTAGTTGCTTACAGAAGCCAAGCAGAGCCCAGCTGCATAAATTAGGCTCCCATTGATTTTTAATTATAACGAAACAAGCTGAATGTTTAGGAGAGTCTCACAATCTTCTCAAATATCTGGTGTTAGGAGCCAAAACATGATAGAGTTTAGAATACCTGATCATTCCTACTGTGAAACGAACAGCTCCATTTCTGGAGAAACACTTAATTTTAGGTGGTGTTTCACTGGGGTCTTATAGTTCAATCATTTTTATTACGTTAAACAAGACTGCAGCACAGAGAATAATACTCATCACTCCTTTTCCCACTCACTGCTAATTAATTTTTTACAAACCTGTGCTGGAACCTGATGTATGTATTTCCAAGTCTGCTGAAAGCCAAACCATTTGTATTACTCATTTCCTTGATAAACATCTCTCCTTAATTTCTTCAAGACACAGGGAGATGAATGCATCTCCTTTGCCAGGTGTTGCAAGCAAGACTCACTAATTTCTTTGAACAGGCTGTACTTGAAAAAAGCACAGTCCTATTTGGCATTTTATGATGCTACATAGAAGAAATTGTAATAACGAATATTACCTCTGGTGAGCAACAGCACAGGGGGCCTAACTTCTTTCTGTTGGAGTTTCTTGAGCTAATTTGCAGTTATAACGAGGATGTGTTGCTTTGAATTAACTAAGTTGGATTTTTTCCGCCTGTTTTTGTGTGTTCTTTGCTTTTTCTGTGTTGTTTTTGTGACTCTTCTCAGCCTAATATAGGTCAATCTACTCGCGCTCCGGATCCACTAAACTGCTCTTTCACAGACTATTTCTCCTCTTTCTTGCAATAAAGGCTTCAGAAAGGTGGGAGCAGCTTTCAGAGAGCAGTCAGCTTAAAATGTGTAGGGCTACCAGGATCCTGTGCCAAACCAGTCCTCGGCATTGCAGCGTGGGATGGCTGTGTAACAATGCTGACGCACCTCCCACCACTGCAAACGCAGCCATGGGTGCCTTGTCTTCTGCTGCCAGTCGTAGAGGCATAACCTTGGCCAGAGCTGCTGCCCCTTACAAACACCAGTGTCCAGCCAGTGATGGGAGAGAGGAGGAGGACAGACCTCAGGAAGAATGAGAGCGCAGGGAGGAAGAGGAGGGATTTGGCAGGGGGAAAACTGCACCCGGAGCACAGGTAGGCGAGTAGGTGCCTCGGGTTGAGCTTTCGGGCAGCTGCTCTGCTGGATGTTGCCTCCCCAGCCACTCACTATGTGGACATGGGAAGGAGGCAGCCCTTCCCTGGGCCATCGAGGCTGTCCCAACAGGTCAGTAATGCAGTTACTCCAGTACTGCTTGCACCAGTTTTACCATTTGATCTTCAGCATTTCAGTTTGGAGATAGCACTTAGTCTGCCAGCCCAGCTGCTGCGGCTGCTCATCTGTTGCCTTTCCAGGCTGGGCAGATCCCATCACCGGTGTTTCTGTTTTGTGTACTTTGGATTCCCTGCTGCGGTTTCACATGTGGCTGGTATTGTGCCTTGCTGCTCCCGGCAGGTTGGCACAGCTGCTGTGCTCTGCAGGTGTTTCCAGCAAAGGTAATGGAAGTGTGGCTGCTGACTTCAGCCAGAGCAGGAAGAGGCCTTGCTGGCCCGGCTGGCCAAGATCTTTGGACTTGGTGCAATCTCTTTTTGCAAATAATTTGTACTGGGATTGTCTGGGGTTAGGTTGCTGTCCTTAAGTCATTCTGAAATGGATACATCTGCCTTCATATTGGTTCTTCTTGATGTGTTGCTTATTTGCTTTTATGGGAGGGTTGTTGTGCTTCTTGGCACAAAAAATATTGGAGCACACCCTCAGCTGCTCCCCCAGTTACTCAAGTTAATGTTGCTACGGGGAAAAAATGACTTGCGGATCCGGTGTAATTTCTGTAGTCCTAAATATATCTGCAGGTACTGGTCTGTCAGAATACAGACAGAAGCATCCTGCAGGCAAACATTATGGAAAAAGGCACTAGCAGCTCTTTCAGCAGTAGATTGAACTGGAAAAAACAAACGTGCTCTCCAGTGTGCTGTCTATAACTAGAGTAACAGTGCTAGCCTTTGCCTGCCAGCTCGAATGGCTTCACCACCACAGATCTGCAACGGCTACAAGGGCGTTACTACTGACAGGTGTAGGGAGCTATTGCTGAGGAGGAACAGGGAGGAAGGTCAGTCTTCAGTATGAATCAGATGTTGTTGCTTACAGTTTTTCACCAACATTTATGCTGTTCCACACAGTTAAGTATGAGTTGCTGTGCAAAACTTTTTAACTGCCATTTTAAGGGAAATAACCTCCTAGAAAGAGAGAGCTGGAGAAATAGAGGATTGCGTCTTGAGTCTCTGCAGTTGCTGTATTAGGTTTGATGATTAATTGGGCCAGCGGTTGACACGCTGGAGGGTAGGGATGCCATCCAGAGGGACCTGGACAGGCTGGAGAGGTGGGCCACTGCCAACCTCATGAAGTCCAACAAGGCCAAGGGCAAGGTCCTGCACCTGGGTCGGGGCAATCCCAAGCACAAGTATAGGCTGGGTGGAGAATGGATCGAGAGCAGCCCTGAGGAGAAGGACTTGGAATCTAGTCTGACCCTAGATCAGCCCCAGAGCCAGACATGGCCTTCCCCAGTCACGACAAATGTGAGGTATCTGCCTGGAGCCCTTCTTTGGGGTCGTGAGGAGAAGGGGTGCATGCAGGGTGCTTTTCCTGGAGCCTGGAAAAACCTGACTGTCGTCTTTTTATCTGCTTTTTGAATGAGATTTAGAAAACACTCAAGGGAACAGCTGTTCATTTGTTGTTAAGGGTTCTAAATGATGGCAAAATGAGGCAATCTTAGTTTGGAAGGTGCATGTCCATGCAGGAAGTTAGTCTGGGGTCCCTCTGTAGTGGGATTGTGCTGCTTCTCTCCACAGCTGTGCATAGAGGGGAGGCAAGATGCCCCT